TACCCTCATTAAGTTTCTTTACAAGTTGAGAGCATTTTATGTCAGTTTACTTATTGGTAAATAATCTTAAAGACATGTTATCCATAATGGCTTCCATATGATGAAAATCAGTTCTATTTATAATGCTGGTTACTTTTTATTACCTCTCTCTTGAGGATGGACTTCAGTTGTAAAATTTTAATTCCTTCCGTTCTAGTCAGTATTTTTTTGCAGACTTGTAAAATATTTGTGTTCCACAAAGAATATTCCTAGATATGTTCATGTACATGTATGATATTAATTTGCTTTTAATACAAGATTTTATCCGAACAAAAAGTTCAATCTTAAATTTGGTTGTGTTCCAAGTGTTTCGACTGACAACAGAAGCTTATTAGGGCTTGAGTGTTGCAACCGGCAACATTTCTGAATTATTAGTGCTCAGCGGAAATAGTCCTGCATGTTTCATCACTGACAAGGGGAAACTAGACTCTGGAAAATCATGATGAATTTTCTCGCCCAACATTTCTCCCACCCCCGGATCTTCTGGTTAGTGAGCAAGTACCTGATTGTTATAAAAAATATACCAGAAGATACCATGAAAGTTTCTGTTTTTTTATGGTTCATTTGCAAAATTAGTTACTTTATATGTTTCGTCAGGCTTTCAGACTGTCTTTTTATCTCCAAAAATAATTTCAAACTGACGTCGTTAGACAAGGCTAACATACAAGTACGGACATCCTAATTTCCATTATCAGACTATAATGATCTATTAATAATATTCTCGAGCACAATTTCAAATAATTTGAGCAATTTGGTCTATTCATTGAGTATGACAGCAGATGTAGCCTAAGTTACCCGCGGAGGGCTTCATGTGACCGTCTATAATCAAAAGAAATTCATATTTAAGTACGGGACCAACCACAATGCTGCTAATTTTAAGCAGACATTAAGTTTGGTTTATTTATATCCGCGATAGTTTTACTAGTTTGTTTATCAGTAAGGGATATCCTGTCTGGTCAAGTCAATGGACTATACTATGATATCCCAAGACCCCCTACTAACCTGAAGGATGTTATTGTTTTCATTGTTTTAACACCACGTCCTCCGAACCCGTAGAAAAATATGACATATTACTAATGGAAACTTCATGCTGTATAATAATATTATAATATAGCCATGCGACGTGATCGAGTAGACTCCCATTTAGATCTGCTGGTGTGGTAATAATCATTTCTGGAAATAAGGCACCTGTCACAGACATTAAGGCTTTGTCTAGTACAACCCATCTGGTGTGGCATTGTAGTTGAGCAACAAGGAACGGGACTACTCTTTATTAAAATGTTTCGGGTTTGAATTCTGGCATTGGCAGAGAAAACATTCTGGATTCTTGAAGCCAGACTGATATGGAAAGTGTGTCTAATTGTTTGGATTGGACAAAAAGTAAAGACTCACCCGTGCAAATAAAATGACCCTTGTTAATTGTAATTCTAAGAAGAGTGAACTGAAGTGCCACTGTCCAGGCAAAATTCTCCCACCAAGCATTGCACATATGACCATAGAAATAAAAATTAACATCAAAATGACAAAAATGACCCTTGATAATTGTAATTCTAAGAAGAGTGAACTGAAGTGCCACTGTCCAGGCAAAATTCTTCCACCAAGCATTGCCCATATGACCATAGAAATAAAAATTAACATCAAAATGACCACAGTATTGCATTAACGAAAAATTAAACCCAAGTCCACCCATTCTCCTGTATGCGGAAAAGGTACTTCGTTTAGTTAGCGTTACCGAAAAATTAAACCCCAGTCCATTCATTATTTCCTGTATGTGGAAAAGGTACTTTGAAAATGACACCTCATCTAGCTAGCATTAAGCAAAAGAATCTGCTTCCCTTGAAAATATTTCACTTTATTTCTGGTGGTTGTTGACATTGATGTTTATGTAAAACTGCACCAAGTAGTAAACAAATACAAGACTCTATTAGTCTGGAAGTTGTTTTTGGTGAAACATTATTTTAAGAAACAATATAAGAATGTTGATAAGTTGATTGGGTACAGTTTATATAGGTATCCCTGTAGGTAAAGTTATGTTAGATATTACATACTGTGAAATATCATTAATACTAATATCTTTTATAGTAGAATGAACTATAATACCTCCATTTTCTATTGTAAACATGTGTTATATTGTTACTATAGGGAAATAGAAGCACTGTGTTCTAATGGTTAGAACATGGTGTTTATTGAAAGTGGCGGGAAATGAAATAAAGGGTATCATTTTAACTATTTAAGTGCTGTGTAAACCGGGGCTTTAATTTCAAACTTTTCCGAGTCGGTCAATTTTTGGCATGAAATTGGGGGTTTGGCGTCCTACTGTTCTGCTCCGACTGGGCTAATGAAAACGGGGGAGGTCAGGAATTCAGGTAGTTGAATTTTTTCTTTTATTGGAATTGGATCATAACATGGTGCCAACTTTTCCTGGAATGCTATCATTTCTCTGTCGTTTCATTTTCCTTAAAACATAACATTGCTGCTTGATTGTTTGTTTTTTTAAATTATGAAAGGTATATTATAAGCTGTAGATTGTCATTTGAGTGATTTTGGAATCAGTCCAAAAAATGATATTTTGGTTTGGTTTTCTTTATTTAATGTTAAATAATCTCTTTGAGTACATTAATGTTTTATCATGCATTATGCCATGAAACATTTGATAAAAATATCAAAATGATGCTTTGGTGTTGATAAACTTTAAAAGTGGGAAACGATGAAGTTTGATCTAAAAATCACTGTGAGAGGTCCTGTATAGACATTGGCATGCACGTAAAAGAACCCTTGGCAGTTAGAATTTAATATAAAAGTAGTCCGTAGCACCACTGTCCGGGCAAAATTTCCCTCATAGCACAATGTATGGCATATGCCTGTCTTCATTATCCCAGTCGGAGCAGAATGGTAGGATGTTAAACTCCTTTGTATTTCCTTTCTTTGGTATTTGTTTTTGCAGCATGTAGTTCTGTATCAGAGCTTTCCATTTGGTTGATGCAATTTTAGAGTTGGGATATACTGGTTGTTTTCTGTGAATACAAGTGAAGACAGAATGAACATGTGTCTACCACCGATTGTCTTAGATTACAATATATACATATGTATTACTGAAAAAAAGTGTCAAAAATGTGTTAATTCTTGTAAGGATATGTAGATTATGTTAAATTTGTAGGATAAGGAGAATGGTTTAAATTAGTTCAACAGATGTATTCATGTATCGGGTTGTGAACCCCCGGTATAGAAGTGGTTGTATTATGTGTTTTAACATCGTGTTAGGTGGTGTACAGTGGTTTTCCTATTGTCTTTTTTATTTTTTGAAAATCATTCTCATCTTTATGATTAATGATGAAGCTTTTTCTAAATGCTGACTGACAAATTAAAACCGAAACTTTTTATTTTGAAAAGGTAATCTTGGAGAAAATTTGTTGATAAAATTGAAAATATTTTGTGGTTATAAACCTTTAGATGTTTACAATATTACACACCCTTTTGATCGAAATTCATTTTGTGGGGGTGGGGGTGGGGGCACATGTAAGCGTAGCAAGTCAAAATGAAGATCAGGTGGACAATTATTAAACACTATTGACGAAATGAAGAAATGAGGAAAACAAAGTAAATTCTCAGAGGAATATATATATATGTGATTTGGAGAATAACAAACTTGAACTATATGGCTGAAAGTTGTTTATATTTGTAAAGGATGGAATTTGTGTATAATGTTGTATAGAAAGATATAACATGTGGCATCTCTCAAAGATTTGTTACATTGTATCTATTATGTAATTATATTTAATAGACCCTGTACTTATGGGGTCAATGGTGAATCCAGGTCATGGATTACTGTAAACCTTTCAAATTGTAAGCATTAGAATATTTCATGTACCTGGGGATGTCAGATGTGCCATATAAATTCAAAATTAAGAACATATAGAAACATTGTTTACTTTAATGAGCCTCTGTTGATTTTTGTAGTGAAATTATTTATGTTATATAAATATCATTTGCTTTGCCAGCCTTGCATACAGGGGCTAAGTGAGAGGGACGTAATGACGAGATTTACTCGTTTAGAGTTTTTGTGCCCGCTTGAGTTTTTGCACCCTCTCGCAAATGGCAAAAAAATTGTGCGGTTTCAATGTGATTTTCAACATTATAATCATAATCATAATGCTTAACCAGTGTCAAACATATACTGTAGGTCAGATATGCTACAAATCAACCCTAGCATGTTCCACACAGCCTAATATTACCCAGTGGCATTGGAAGGGAGTGCCACCCCACCCCCTCCCCTGCACACACATATAAATATTGTTTTTGTGAGGACAGATCCAAGTCCATATTTTTAGGGTGGAGTGGGGAGTTGCCAAATGGTTAGCTTGTGATTATTGTATCTTAAAGTCTGTCATTGAGTCAACTGGCGTGGTTTTGATTCCCGCGTTGTACCTGAAGAGGAGTAGGGTCACCTGTCCAACCTCGTGGGTTTTCTACGGGTCCTCCAGTTTCCTCCCACCTCTAAAGACCTTTACGCGCAAGCGAATTATTGAAATAAAATTAAACCATATGTTAGTCCCAAAATGACCTAGTTTGTGTCGAGTGGACGTTAAACCCCATTTCTCTCTCTCCCTCTCCATACTTTTAATATATTTACAGTAGTTTATTGACACTAAGCTTGTGTATTATTACATCACAGCTAGCAGCTTATCATCAGCTCATCAACTTCATTTCAAAGTTCAAATTCTTTAAATGATGGAAGCTTGTTTAACATACAAGATGAATTTTAATCTGAGACAATGACAAGATTCTTTCAACGGAAGATAAAGTTACTTCAAAAACTCCATTATATTTGACATCTTCACATTTTCATTCATTTCATGTGTGATTCTTTGAAAAATAGAAAGAAAAGATTGAACTGGGAATTTGAGCATTTGAATCTGATGCATGAAATGTTTTTACTGATGGAATAACATTTTTTTTTCCAGATTGTTAGAAAAAGTTCAAACGGAACCGTCATTACAAGAAGATGGTAAAAGGTTTGTGTTCTCTGTGACAGATCTGCTGGACAGATTACTAGACTATAGGTATGTATATTTTATTTTTATATTTTAAATAAGATTATTTTTTCTGGTAGAGCATGGAGAATCAAGAATTACTATCTTGATTAGTACACAGATCCTATTTCGTTACTTTTTTTATAGTTCAAAATTTTGTTTTACTAGCTCTAGGATCTGGAAGAATTGTCATATATAACCTGTATCCTAGAGGGATTAGCCAATGACACGGTCTGTTACGGCGAGTTTTTGGCGTGAGGTACACAAAACTGTGGGTAACTCACTAGAAACATCAACGCTGATTCGTTAAACAAATGTCTAAGGTCATAGGAACAAAAACCCTGATTCGACCTTCCAACCGATCAGATCTTTATGTAGTAGAGGCGATTGAAAGTATTAAAAAACGAAATGAAAAATAGATCTGTATTTTAATCTGATTGAAGAATTATTACTTGCTCTTTGGATATGAAATTAAAATAAGAATGCATCCAACACCAGCCTTAGAATATTTTAGGCCCTGTGCCATCTCATACAGGGCGGATATGATGCAGATCAAATTGTCTTTCAATACCACCAGAATTAAAATTCTTTGATTTCAAAACATCCAAATCCCAAAAAGAAACATAGGCCGTGAAAGGCTGAACTGAAAATGAAAAGATTTGTTTGGAACCTCGATGGTATATTTCTTTTAAAGTTTTAGCTCTCCTTAAGTTGCATGGGTAACCAGACGGTGGTAATTACTACTTACACTGTAAAGTGAGCATTGTTAGGCCGACATTAATATTGGAGAAGGCCAATAAAGTGAAACCCATCATCAGAGATTTACCACTGTTTGGTCAGAATTAAGAAACAAGCAGCAGTTCATTCACTTTGACTTTTAAGACCATATTGTTGAACATTTGTTTATATGCCATGCACATGTGCACACCGTCGCCACCTGTATACCATACTGCGGTAGTGATGGCTACAAAACTCTGGAGAATAAAAGGAATTTTCAGGAAATACATGCCACACTATCAGTCAGTTTTATATCATTGTCAGAATGTCTTCTATACATATACACCACTTCTGCACACTGGAAGAGGACTAGGCCCTTGAGGCATAAACACAGACGAGAAATACTGAAACAGGTACAACCCATCCTGCAAAATTGTTTACTATGTGAACTTTCCAACAACATGCATCGAAATATGGCATGAGTAAAAGATTAGAGTCATGTTATGTTATTTCATAATTATTCAACCAAATTCATTTATATTAGGTACGATAATTACACAAACAAAATGGTAGAGCAATCTTTTGTAGGAATGGGAAAGTTGAAAATATTTCCTCAGCACGGACTTGGACCACGCTTTCTAGTCTCTTGTCACTGTGGATTCCACATGAAAAGTAGTGTCATAGGTTCTGGAATAAGTCAGCATACTCTGCTCTGTGTCCAACACCTGTCACAAAAATTGACCGGTGTGTGGTGATTCTAATAAGAGACCTATAGCCACTCTATTCTTGTTCTTTAAAACATTAATTAAATTTATGAAAAATTGGTGACTTTGATTTCTGTGTGAAAAAATATATCAGATTATCTGTCATTTTATTAAATATCAAAAATGTATTTCATTTATAGATGTTGAGCCGAATGACAGTAAATTGCACCACTTCCATCTTGTTTTTTATACAGATTAGAAACACTGGCTACTTGAAACATGATTTTCTTTAATCTACCATCTCTTGCCTCCTTCCTGTATTATAAAAACATCTGGAAAATATTTCTAATACTTGATAGATCCTCCCTCTGTCCTTTATACCATACTTTATCTAATAAACTCAAGATGCTCAAATATTTTTACAAGAGGTGAATAAAATGAATCTAATAGTTGGTTTTCTTAGAAAATTACATTAGGAAATGATTCTTTTGGATACAAATGGCTTCTCCCTCTGTCCTTAATACCATACTTTATGTTATAAACTAAATATGCTCTTATATTTTTAAAAGAGATGTGACTAAATTGAAGCTAATAGTTTGTGTTTTTAGTAAATTACATTGGGAAGTGATACTTTTGGATATAAATGGGGGGTTGGATGGCCGAATGATTAGCATGTGCGCACTGTATCATAAGGTCTGTCGTTGAGTCAACTGGCGTGGTTTCGATTCCTCCGATTTCCTCCCACTGCTAAAGACCCCTACGCGCAAGCGAATTATTGAAATAAAATTGAACCATATGTTGGTCCCAAAATGACCTAGTTTGTGTCAAGTGGATATTAAACCCCATTTCTCTCTCTCTTTGGATAAAAATGGCTTCTCTCGTATCTTTAAAAGAGATGTGAATAAAATGAAGCTAATAGTTCGTGTTCTTACATTGGGAAATGATTCTTTTGGATATAAATGGCTTGTCATAGAAATTTTATTAAATTTTAGAAATTTACATTGGAAAATGATTCTTTTGGATATAAATGACTCTCTCCCTCTGTCCTTTATACCATACTTTATCTAATAAACGAAATATTCTCTGATATTTTTAAAAAGATGTGAATAAAATGAAGCTAATAGTTGGTATTCTTAGTAAATTACATTGGGAAATGATTCTTTTGGATACAAATGGCTTCTCATAACAATTTTATTAAATTTTATAAATTTAATTGAACTTGTACTGATAAAATAAGATTGACCATTATATTGATGATTGTTGTGTTGAATTGCCAAGTCTGACATTTTGTTCAATAAAATAAATTGGCAACTTTTTGTCAAATTATAGACATTTTGTTTACTAAATAACAGTTTAATGTAGTTGTTTCAAATTTTGTTGTGATAAATGTCAGATCATTTCTTTACAATATTGGTTATTGTAATAAACAGTTAAACAGTAATTTGTGGTTGGAAAGAAGATCACACAATTATTTATACTGTAAATAGATTTATATAAATGAAGAGTCCAGGGGAAGAAGGATCTAAGTCACATTTTTGTCTTTTTGCATAAAAGGCAAAACAGACTTTTGGACGAGAATGTTTGACGCGAACAGAACAACGAGGGGGTTTAATTACAACTTCAAAATGATGTTTCATACGAATCATAATTACCAGTACAACGGACATCAACTTTTCAGGCAAATTAAGGTTAAATAAAGGGTATGATGAACTTGTATTTGTTCGGGAGGCCATTTCAGAAGGGCCTTGGTTTGATGTGACTCAGATCGTTTTTACCTGAAATAGTTTGTTCCACAGAAAGCTTATACAATTTGCTTCCAGATGGCGCCATTAACTGGGGTACGTTGAAAAAGTGACTCATATCGATCTTCCCTGGGGCTCTTCAAATGTATTTTAAAGAAAAAACAAGCATCTAAGAAATGATTTTATTAACCCTTTACCATTTGGTACATATAAATGTTGATTTTGACAGTTCTATGAAAAGACAGAGAAAAGTGATCTGTTGAGTGTTCTACATTGGGTTTTGTAGTTCATTTTAAAACATATGGCACTGTACAGTGCAGTGGATACTTAGGACTGGCCCCGACCCCAGATCCATTCACTTGATTTGATATTTGTTTATTTCATGCAGTGTCTGTGTAATTTGTCTTGTCTGCAGGTTTGTTTTTGTCCGTTTAGTGTGTGGTTCTCTTAGCACTTAATATTAGATTGTCTCAAATCGCTAGAGTCACAGAATTAGTATATAGTCCTTAAATAATTCACAGTTATTCACATGACTGGCAGACAAAGTTGTCTTGTTTCAGACCGTCTAGCTAGATGCTAAAGGGTTAACTATATTGCCAGTATTTGTTTTTGTGGGGACTAGAGTTTTTATTATAATCATGACAGTAAAGTATTTAGTCTTAAATAATTCACAGCTATTCACATGACTGGCAGTTTGTGCTGCTAGACAGAGCTGTCTAGTTTCAGATGCTAAAGGTTTGACCATATTGCCAGTATTTGTTGTTGGAGGACTAAGAGTTTTATTAGAATGATGACAGTAAAGTATTTAATCTTAAATAATTCACAGCTATTCACATGACTGGCAGTTTGAGCTGCTAGAGAGAGAGCAATAGTTTCAGGCGTCTAAAGGGTTAACCATATTGCCAGTATTTGTTGTTGGGGGAAACTAGAGTTTTTATTAGAATCATTACAGTAAAGTATTTAGTCTTGTTAGTCGTTTTTCTCATCATCTCTTTTCACTAATGATTTAATTTATGAGATAATAAGTCAATTTAGTTGGGGTTTTTAATTCGCTGATGTTCATCAAAAATCCTATAAAATTTTAATACACTGTACTCAGAGTAAATTGACAAGGAAATGTCTTAATTAGAAGAATTTTGGTGGGTTAATTGGGTGTGATTGAGGATGTAAAATTTGGGGATTTTGTTTATTAGAGGTGATAATTTAATGTTGGCAATAAAGAAGACCTTGGTCTTATGCTACACAGATAGGAGAAAAGTTTATTAATGGCTATTTTGATATGGATGTATATTATGGTTATACCCATTCATTGTCTGTTCACAGTTTTCTTGTGAACAGGGCACGTGACAAGGACTAGGGTCGCCTGTCCAATCTCGTGGGTTTTCTCCGGATCCTCCAGTTTCCTCCCACTGCTAAAGACCCCTACGCACAAGCGAATTATTGAAATAAAATTAAACCATATGTTTGTCCCGAAATGACCTAGTTTGTGTCAAGTGGACGTTAAACCCCATTTCTCTCTCTCTCTCTTGTGAACAGGCCTGGAAATAACGGTTTTAGATGTACCTCTGGCACTAATGAAATAGTACTTGACATTTTCAACTTAGTGCCAGACATGGTATTAATAATATCAGTAAAAAGACAAATCAGTGCAACTTAGTGCCGGACATGTATTAATAATATCAATAAAAAAGACAATTCAGTGTCAGACAAAATGACAGGCATCAGAGGTTTAGTGTCTGACAAAGCCGGAATCTGTGCCTGACATTGTCTGTGACTGGTGCCATATTTCCAGGCTTGGGTGAAGTCTCTTGTAGGTAGGGATTATTCATTTTGCCATAACGAATAACACTATCGAAATTCAGTTATC